CAATATATATGAATTTAAAGTTTTGCTGGGATCACAAGTTTTTTAAGAGGCTACTGCTATGAATACAATTACATGCTTTGAATTCACGCTAGAATAAATAGATAAAAATTATCAATAACTTAAGCTGTCCTACATTTTAAAATCTAAAACTATTTATTCTACATAAGAAATTGATCCAACATTTCTTTCACTTAAGATGAAAATAAATCTTCCAAATGAACTTGAAGTATACATTAAAATTAAGATTATAGTTAAAAAATGAAAAAACGAAGTTATTTTGTATTTATAAAGCATCATTTATAAGCAATACCATGCACTTTTTTTATTGAACTAAAAAATCTTAACTATTTCGAGCTAGAAAATTTCGTCAAGTATTAACAATGTTTTAGTGGGTACCATTGAAATTTAACATTATAAAAATATGTTATATCAAATTCACATTTTTATTAAGCGATATTAAGGTGCAATTTTTTATACAGATAGCTTTAGACCTCTAAAATAGTTGAATTTAATTAGAAAATTCAAACGAAAGCTAGAACGTATTGGTTTTCCCAGCACAGCTATTGTAAGTGAACGGCAGATGGACACGTGTGACGTCAGTTCGTGCATAATCACGTGACTCCCCGTTTCAGGAGAAAACGAAAGTAAGCGTTTATTGATTGAAAGTAACTAAATAAATAGTCTTCTTAGAAAAGTAATAAAATGTTTTCTGGGAGTTTTGAGGGATTCTGAATGCATTAAAATTAAAAAAAAATTTGACTGTAATTGTCCATTGTAAAACATTAACATACATTTAAAAATAATGAAGATACTTAACTATAATGAAGATACTTAATGATTATACTATAATGAAGATACTTAAACACCTTTTTATAATAAAGTATATTTCCTTTTTAAAGTATTACTTTCAAAATAAATTTTATGTAAAACTGTATTCATTCAGCAAATCCAATCAAAATAAAGAATAAAAAAAAGTCTTTAAAATTCTAAAGTAATGTTAAGTATTAATCTACTGTGCAATATTGTTAAATAACCTCTCAAGCAAAAATTAATTCAATTAATTTTTATAGTAACCAAAAATTAAATAAGAATTTCAAAAGAAAGTTTAAGGATGGATTTGTATTGGCGGCCAAGCAAAATTATTGTAACAAAATTGGTATACTATAATCATTTAGCAAATTCTGTATTAACATGAAGGGAAAAAAGAGAACATTTTATGAATAATGTTTAATTTTGAAGAAAAAGTTTGTATAAGAAACAAAAATGATTAAAAATCAATCGCTGCATTTTCTGAGCTTGTAAAAAGATGAAAATTAAATCCTTATTTTTATCTTACTGATAGCCGAACAAGACTTTAGAAAGTGCACAGAGAGAAGCTCTTGTGTAGACCCGTATAAGGCATGCACCTAGTGGGCCTTTCTTTGCTCATCACTCAAAAACATATATGATTTCCTAAATGGGATTAGGATATTTCAATAATTATAAGACTAAATAAGTTTTAACTTTTCTTCAAATGAAGAAAAATTTAAATGAAATTTAATTAACAATCATTTGTCTTTACTTTTGCCATATTTGTTAACCATTTATTTTACAACCACGAGAAAAACTCAGCGAAAGAATAATAATTAGATTAGAAAAATCACTGAAATAAAAATTTGAAAATAAAAATGTTGGAAAAAAAATATGCATATAGTGCAACTTTGAGGAGAACTCCTCCAGACTAAAAGTCTGGGGTTATCTGCTGCTATGGTAACAAGCGAGAGCACATCTCTAATGGGAGTGAAATGGAGGTGTCGATTGGTTTACTCATGCCGACCTATGTCAAGATTAAAACAAAACTACACACCGCACACCCCTATTCGAAGTGACTTTTCCTCACTACCATAGTTACCGCCAGGACACAAGACGAATGTCTGTAGGAGTTCTCCTGAAAGTCGCACTATACTTTTATGAGTGTATAATGTCAACAAATGTATAATGTAAACAAAAGTTTAATCATCTCTCTCTTTTTAAACTATTTGGTGGCATAAAATCAGTCTGAAATGTTTGCACACACTTTTCCCACAGCTAAAGGTGGTGATCAAAAGTAAGGTTTGTGAAATTAAAAAGTAAAATTTAAAAATAAAGTTCAGATTCTGCTGAAAAAGAAATATCCAAGATTTGCACAATTTTTTATTAACTAACGAAGAAATCTATACAAGTGAAGGAAATCTACAAATCTATGGTTTCAATCAAAAGCACTTTCATAGAAAGAGACAAATGTAGAAACCAGAGTTGGCAAGGTTTAGGACAGAATGGATTAATCCACAGTTTAAACCGCCCTGTCCATAACACTTCTATTCAAATTATGTCACTATTTTTTAAAAAATATTGTGAAAAATAAAAGGTTAATTTTTGAAAAAGGAACAAAATGAAGACACGTTTTTGTTTTATTAAAAAAGTTTCATCATTATTTTTAATATTGCATTTTTTATTCTTATGCAAAAACATAATTTATCAGTATTAAAAGTATATTTATTCATATTTAAAAGACTAGGTATTCACTTTTGTCATTCAATGAGATGTTAAAGATGTTCAAAAGTTATCTTTTTCTCCTTTTATTATATTATTTTCCTTTTAATAAGTTAAAACAAATTGTATAAAAAGAATAAAATATTTATTAATCTATGTAATTATTATGTGTGCAATGGTTACACATATAGGATTTTTACCTTTTAGCAATTTACCCAAGGTTCAAGGATTTGGACACTTTAGGAGTTTTAGTCTGTTTAAGACAGCAAAACCTAGGTCTCCGGTTCAAAACCCTAATCCTGGTAGAAATACTTTGCGGAAGAAAGAAAGATACTTACTTGCCCTCCGGTTCTTCCCCTGCCGTATTGTCTTCCTTCAATAAAGCCAGCGTCCCAATCAGTTCTAATTATTCTGTCATCAAGTTTTGTTCCATTCACATACCTCATGGCATCTTCAGCATCTTCTCGTTCATAATATCTTTGCAAAAGTAGAGGAGTAATGTGTCCAAAAAAAATCATTTCAGTATTTTTGCAGAAAACACTCAGTAAAAAATAAAGATTTCACATTTTTTTCTAGTTTTTAGTTTTATGCAAAACTTGAATAAAAAAGAAATATATTTTCTTTGAATATTGACAGAGCTGTCAACATGGATAGGAAAAAAATCCAGTAGATTTAATGAAATATAAATTTCCTGATAACTGTTACATAATGTACTTAATATTTTACACGTAGGGACTTTTATTGTCATAAAAATACAAAAACTTTATTACACTAATAATTATAAAGGGCCTGCAATATTTTCCATTTATGACTGAAATTATATGAACTTGAAATTATTTTTATTAACTCATAAATTTGAATAGTAATAGAAAAGTAATTTAGGATTGATAATTAGGATTTTATAATTAATTTTTAAAAAAGAGTTCTGAATAAAAAATAAACTGGAAATTTTAGACCAAAAAAAGAAAGAAAAAAAAAAGCTTTAAACTGTCTGTATAATTCAGGCTCACTTCATTACATATTAAACTAATTCAAATATTCAAGCAAAAAGTTGTGTAAAAATTCTATTTCAATATGGATTTTTTTAGGAAACTTTCTCAATTTTAGTTAATTTTCTGAAATGCATAAAAATCAAAAGAATTTTTATTAAATCAGTAGAGAATGAGAAACTGGCAAAATCCAGCATTCTACTGATAAATCCAGTAAAGTTGGTAGCTATGTATTAAACATTTTCTTTCTTTTTATTTTAATTTTGTTAAAATTTAGCAATCTACATTCTTTTAAATACAGTTATCAAAATAAATGTTTCTTTTTTTTTCTTTTTTTTAAATTTGAAGTAAAATGAAGAAATAACTAATATCACATTTCTAATTTTTTGTTTTGAACAAAAAATAATAAATTACAGTAACTAAAGATCAAATAAATGATGAGAATTAAAATTCTAAAAAAAATAAAAATATGCACCTATTTGCTTTGGGGTTTGAAGGGTTAAATTTCAACATATTTCTAAAAAGCACTAAGTTAAAAATTTGCTTGAAGTTTTATCACAACGAGATTTCATACGATTTACAAATACCTTTATAATTATACTTATTTTCAATGGCAATCAAACTAGTATAAAAAAAAAAAAATGAAGGCAAGGGAAAAAAACATTATTGAAGGATACTCTACAAAACAAAACCCACAAGGTGTTTTCTTAAATCTGTCTAATCCAACAATAACTCTTTTGACGTCTCCACATTTGGAAAATAATTCATAAATTTGTAAATCAGTTGTATAAAAGCTCAGATTTCCAATGTAAAGGGTGGTACTCTTCGACAGAAGTCTCTCCAATTCATTCCGAGAGCCCTGCAAGAAAATTCATAACTACAGGTACACAACAAATATAATTGCATCAAGACATTTATTTAAAACATAATTATTAGCATAAAAAATTAGATAAACATGAATTTTAATCATAGAGTAAAGTCTACTGTTCTGTAAGAAAAGAGTAAGAGGAAGCTCTACTTCCACAATGGGAGAGTATTTAATAATTTACAATATGTATACAATAACGCTTTTTGTTTAGTAATTATAATATGACACAACACCTGAGAATTTTTTCAAACCTCGACTCACAAAATAAATAAGAGATCTGAATCGTGTATCACATTTCTCAGCAGCAAGTTTTGTTTTTTTCCATTTTCTAAACACAATCTTAATGTTATTTGCAAACAAAATATTGAAGCAAGAGCTAAATTTAACTCAGCAATGTTATAGCAGTATATATTAGAGATCACTCACTAGTTCAAAAGTGATTTTTTTTTCACTTGTTTGTAACAGATGCCCAAATACCACCGAAAATCTCATTTCTTACAAGTAAATATTCAAAAATAAATTTTAAGAAAAAACTTTGCTAGTTTCTATTCAAGATGTGTATGAAGAAACAGTCCCTTGATTAAGTTAGGTTTCACGTTTATTTGATAAAACTTTTTAATCTCCTACAATAACCAGCTTGATAAAATACTAAATAGTAATACAGCTTAATAATACTTCAATATTTCCTTTAATACTTATGATCCCATTCAAGGCATTATTGATTTCTGCTAAAAATTAACAGTTAATATTTTGCTAACAGAATTTTTCCCTTTTGCCCACAGGCAAAAAAGTTGCCAATCAAAGCAAAATCACTATCTGCAAATAAACTAAATTCTTTTTCTTTTTTTTTAAATACTTTTAATGACCCCTATTTTTTAAAATAATGAAATTATATAGCTGGATTTAACTGCACCAGCAAAATGACAGAGTACCAAAAGATTAAATTAACCTTACTAATATAGCATAAAAAAACAACAGATATATCAGAATGTGTTTAATCTCATTTGTAAAGAGTCCCTAAAAATGAAATTAGTTTTAGTATTATTTCCAATCTACCCCTGGATAAGCAGAAAAACTTGTACCAGAAAGTAAAATTCATACTTTTTGAAAATAATTAATTTTATTTCACATTCTAAAATTTATGAACAGCGTTTTCACTAGAGCCCGAGAATCTCGCATATTTTTTTTATTTTCTCGCAATAAAAAATTATTAACGCAAGAAATTCGCGCACTCTATTAATCAATTTTAAAATGCACGAATTTTGGGGAAAATGTCATCTTTGGCCATTTCGAATAAAATCCGCTTCACTTTTCTTCCTTGATCTTTCATTATTTTGAGCATCGGTCCTTGTTATCTTGCTTCCCTATTTACCAGTATTGTTTAGCACCGGTGCGAACAGCAGTACACCAACCAACGAACCCCTTTCAGAACACATTTCTCTGCAACCACGGGTTCACCGTAAGTAAGGTTTCTTCATGTAAGACGTTTAAATTTTTTGCGCATGAATGTAAGATGGACAAATACCTTGTTAAGGCGACATCTTCTACTCCGTAACGGACAAATGAAAATGAAACAAATGTCGGTAGAAACGGTCAAAACGAAACAAATACGGATATTTTTCAGCCAAATAAATATAATAGCTGATGAAAAAGTAGATATAGAACATTTTCCATATGATGATGCAGCAAAAATATTCAATGCTTTAAAAATTAGAAGATGTTAAAAATGTATTATAATCAAAGAAATATTTTTTTTCCAAGTCTATTTGTGTTTTTTTAATTTTTAGAAATCTCACTTAAATTTTTGAGATCTCACCCTGTTTTTGAGAAAGGGTGAGAAATTCTCTCCTATTTTTTTCTGTAATGAAAACACTGACAAGGTAATATTAAGATATGTAACTTCAATCATAATCATAGAAGTTTTGAAACAATTAAAAATGTAAAAAAATCAAACTTGTCATAACATTACTTACTTTAAATTGTTGATCTCTGTATGAACTTGAATCTACGCCTGCTGATCTAGACCTAGACCCCATACTGTCATTTATATCACCTAAAATATAAGAAAAAGAGATGAACATCAGGGATATGAATAATATTTCTTTAAACTAATATGGTTAACAATTGTTATGATGAAGCCTTAGCAAAAAAATATTTTGAACCAAATTTACAAAAAAGTTTAAAAAATGTTTTTAGATTTTTTTTTATAATAAATTTTAAAAATCCTAACATTAACTTTACTAAACAGTAAACTAAATACATCAGAAGACTCTTCAATACACATAATAATAGAGTTCATAATTACTGAGAATGCCTGTTCTTGATTGTAAAGTTGTTTAAATAATATAGCCTCTATAAAAAAGCAATCAGGACTTTTAAGTATTAGTTGTTTTAATGGAAAAATTATAAGAATTAGGAAGTTGCACTAAAAGGCAGAAACTGTAGGTATTTGACGCTGACTTATTTAACTAAAATTAACAAGATAGACACAACAATGTTCAAAACTACTTAAAACATATCTGTTGCTAATTGCATAAGGTAAAATTACATAAATTCACAACTCAGAAACTTCAAATGAATGCTAACATTATTTTTTTAATTTTGTAAATAGTATTTATTACTGTATATTTGAAAACATAGAATTCTCAGAAAATTTTTGACAGCTATATTGCGATGGGGAGATATATAAACAGAACTGTTAAATTTGTAAAATTCCAAGTGAACATTGTAAAATTTTTTTTTTCCGTTGATGAAGCATTAGAGATAAATTGTTATATACTGTGTAACAGCACATGTTACGCATATAAATACATAAAATAAAAGATGAAAACAAATTGTCCGAAAATAACTAATAAAAAATAAATGCAAAAAAATAGAACAATAAGAAATGAATATCTTTTATTAATTTTCTTTGAGTGCTCATTTTACCTCAGAAAACAACAAACAAATAAAAAAAATGAAATGTGTTCACTTAAAATTCAGATAGAACTTAATGTTAATGCCCATTTTGCTTTTGATTATTTCCAAGTTGAGCTGCTAATCTTCAGTTTGAACGGGTAAGTTTAAAGGGTTGAAAAGTAAATAGGGAGAAAACAATAGTAGTCACGAACGAAGCAGCTTACAAAGGGTTTTTAATTTGTACATAGGTAAGCGAATAAACCAGGAAGGCTAGATTGTCCAAAAAAGAAGTCAAAAATTATTCACAAAGAATGTTTTTATTTTTTCCCCAATGAGCTGCACAAACGGTCCTGCCGATGAGCAGACCTAGTGCATTCTCCAGAGTTGGTATCTACTTTTTCAGGACCACCACAATGGGTGAGATACCGTTGGTCATGTTAATATCGACGTCTAGTTTCTGCCACACTAGATGGCAGCACCGAGACTCTATTTGGATGCTAAAGTGCAATAGGATTTTAATTTTGCTGGAAATGCCAAGAGCCTATAAGGCACTCCAGGCATCTTTCACACGCCGCATAATCATACGACATGGTCGCTGAGGATTTTCTGCATCCCGAAAATCCGGTGTCTGGTCCGGGGATTGAACCCGCAGACTTGGGCTCAGAAGGCCGGCGACAAACCAACTGCGCCNCCGGTGTCTGGGCCGGGGATCGAACCCGCAGACTTGGGCTCAGAAGGCTGACGACAAACCAACTGCACCACCCAGCCGCAAAGATAGGGTGTATTCACAATTCACAAAGATAGGGTGTCTTATTATTTTCTTAAGTCGGCTTTCGTATGGGTTTTGAATTTAGGGTAAACTTCCAAAGAAAGAACAATCGTCATAGTTTTCAAACGGACAAAAGTTAAAAATGTAGTTGATTGAGAGCTATATCCTTCAAACTCTTCCTTTCTGTGATGCTTTTAGGGAGATTTCCATATATTGATATGTGGCAGAATAATCGCCAAGTCGTGGCAACTTCCCGGCAGCAATATGCGAGAAACTTTTTAAAAAAATCCCTGAAAAGGACCAATTCAAAAGGTATAACTTGTATCCATCCCAAGGCAAACATTGACATATAGTTAAAAATCTATTTGGCACCTTGGCGATTGTATTTGTCGCGACAGATCTTGATACGGAAATACCCACATACTTTTTTTATTGGGATATTTCCGTATCGTAATCTGTTGTGCCAACTAGATTCTAAATTTGCAAACATTTTATTTAAAAAAACATGTATATGTTTGCATGGTGGTGGCTACTAGCTATACATTTTGAGTTGGTCCCTTTTTGAGATGTTTTTTCTTTTCGTTTCTCACGGGCTGCTGCCCGGAAGTTGCCAAGACTTGGCAGTCATTCTACCACCGATCAGGAAACAGAAATCTCCCTTTTTTTATTGACACTGCCCGCAAGTTACCAAAATTTGGCGGTTATTTTGTTTTAGGTATCGATACAGAAATATAACCAAGAAAATAGTATACCCATTGATTCAGAAATATAGTGTAACTCTAGTGGCATATTTGGGCACTCACAGTTACAAGATAACATATATAAATAATGACATATCGCAGGCCGGCGAAATTAACGTAGCAGCCCAAAAAAACCTATTTTGTGTTCTAAATCATAAAAAAAGTTTATATACGAGGTGAATTTAAAGCTGAAGTAGTTAAGAAGAAGCAATTGGTGCATCGCGTATCCTTGATTAATAGCAATAAACATATTTACGGATTTTAAACGACGTTATTATTGCTGGAGTGCGACATAAAGAACAATTCGAGAATAAAATAGAATTGTATCAATAAAATAAATTTATAATAGCTAAAATATGAAAAGGAAACATTAACATGTAAAGTTAAAAGGTAGCAATATAAAATAAGTCTGACAAGTTAAGCTTTTGTACGAACCAAATATTCGAAAACATGTAAATAAGGAATAACAAAACAACGAGCCAAGAAGACCTATTTCTGTTCTGCCTGCTCGCTAAGCGGAAGTGGTTTCAAAGTTCAAAAAAATTTTAATAATTTGGTTAAAGAAAGTTTTATAGATGGCGCTAAATGGAAGTTTTACCTAAAATTGTTATTGTTGTTAATTTACGTCGCCGTAGAGCTGCACAATGGACTATTGGCGACGGTCTGGGAAACATCCCGGAGGATGATCCGAAGACATGCCATCGCAATTTTGATCCTCTGCGGAGTGGATGGCTCCCCCGCTTCGGTAGCCCGACGACCTGCGCGCGAAATCGAGCACTTTGCGGTAGCACAGTTTAACGAGGACCAATACCGCACACCCTCGGTCCCTACGCAGACTGATCCAAGTGGTCACCCACCCGCATACTGACCGCAGCCAGTGATGCTTGACTTCGATGATCTGCTAGGAACCGTGTCTTAACGATCAGTCCACTGCTGGACACTTAAAATTGCAGTTGGTAGTGTTTCAGTACTAGTGGTTTGTTGCTTTTATTAATGATTAGCCGAATATCCGTTCTTCCACCAAAGTGAATTTAAAAAAAAGGGAAATTGAAAATCCCTACTAAGCAACGCAATAAAACCATGAATAAAACTGACATAATGACGTAGTTTTTAGCCTACAATTAGAGAGGAAAAAAGGTCTTATCTATCCTTTGACAACGAAATTCCAAAAAATAACCTTCATTTACGTGGTTTTATCTCACTATTGGCGTATCTTTATAAAGAGCGCAAATGTGAAGTTTGCTGTCTTCTCTGTGATTGTACAGATTTATAGCCCTCTTTAAGGCCTCAGAATTTTACGTCAAAGTATCTTGCACTCTTGACTGTTATTAATGATCAAATTCTTAACTTTGAAATAGTTCTGTAGTTGCATAAATATTTTTTTCAATCTTACTCAAATCACTTTTTGATGATGTTGAAAACAAAAATATTATATTACTTTACTATTTATGTCTTTTGAAATCGCATTAAAACGTGAACTTTTTTAAATATGATTTTTACACCCGTATCTCTTGCTTGTTGCCGTTAAAAAAAATTTTAAAATAATGTTAAGATAAATTTAAACGATCATCTATCAACAAATATTGAAGATGTTTGTTAATTGAGATCTTAGAAAACAGTTGTTTATCCAAAAAAAAGGGATAATATATATCTCAGGAAATATTCGTAAGGCAAATAGTACTATGTTTTATTATTCTATAAAACTCAACTACGTAAATTTTTCTGAGTAGCCATATCAGGAGTAAAAATGTAAAACAAGCTGTAAATTCAGTAAGATTATTGAAAATAATAAGTAAGGGGAAATAAAACATAATTTTTAAAACATTTCCCACAGTAAAAAATTGATGTGAAGAAACCTGATTGCGCATATATTTCCAATGAATTCAAGTCCGTCTTCATCAAATTGAACAACTAAATTTGAAATGTTAATCACTAAAAATAAAAATTTCATTCGGGAAAAAAATCTATTGGAAGGAGAAATGTTTGCTTCAATTTATAAACTTATAAGATGCTGCTTGTTTCCAAAGGTACAGCACTGGTGATTCTTTGTAATTTTTTTTCAAAGTGGAAAATCTATATTATATAAAACGCTAATACGTACGTACGTATGCATGTATGTATCAATAAAACCGATGATATTTCTTTTCTCGCGCTGGCAACAGTTTTCATTTTTAATTGATTGGATTCGGCGCGCAAGAGCACGTAGTGAGCAACCAGATAACAATAACCAGAGTGAGCATTATCAGGTTGTTCAATTCAGATTCATGCACTAAAAACATGACAATATTTAATTTAAACTCAATTAGGAATTAATTAATTAATTGAAGTGAGAATGCTTTAAAAGGCCGCTGTTGAATTGATATTTTTCTACTGGGAGCTACCTAAACGTCTAAAAAACGTTTAAGTGTTTGTATTGAATGCATTGAATTTTTTTATATTTCGCGTTTATTTATGCATTGAATTTTCACGCTTTAAAATGCAGAATATTAGTGAAGCAATATTTGATAATTTATCTTGCTAATATGTTTCTTATTTGGCTAATGTTTTGATTTTTTTCACCATGTACAATCTAAATAGCTAATATACTTTTTTAAAAGCCAATAAGAACATTGGTAGAATTCTTGAAGAAGTTCTGTTGCACAAATAACTTGAAATATTGTGTTCAACCTTGGCGGACACTTATTAATTTAGCATTAATATTAAGAAAATCACTGATAAAAAATAAATAAAAAAATTCTTTCTCAATGAATGAAAACTTAGTATTGAAAACAGCCATTCATTTAATGGGATAAGTAAATGTTTCTTTTCAAGAAATAAGACATTTCAAAAATAATTAAGATTTATACATAAGAATTTCAAAATCAATTATGATCAAAACTTATGTTTAAATTATATAATTATTTGTACATAAAATATATTGATTTCATGTCAATTTTGCTTATTTGAATAAATTAAAACTGATAATTCAGCAGCACAAAAAAGCTATAAACAATTCTTAGTCCATTTTTTTATTAAAAAAAGGCCTTCTGTTTCTTTTATTTATATATTAAATGTTTAGTTTCATCAGTTATTTTGTAAGCAAGAGAATATTATTTAATTGTGTTGTAAATTTTGCATTTATTCCTTTGACAACAAAATTTGTATGAATTCATAGTTTAATTACATTTATATTACAATTATTATATGCCATTCCCTTTTATTTGTGCAAATAGGTAAATAGCAACTTTTTTGAGAACAAAATTTTTTCATCAAGTTTGATTAGTAAAAGGAGAAAAACAGGCAATAAAATTTGACTTGTTTGTTTATTAAGGTCTTTTGGGATAAAGTCTCAAACTCCCCATGTCTTTGAAGGGCTGTAACAGGCTTTGTATCTTTTTGAATGTTTTAGTATTACCTTTAATTTTGTGAGAAAATAGAAGAAATAATTTTAAATATTTTTGTGAAAAAGAGGAAAATTTGGTAGCAATGCTATTTATAACTCATACTTCATTAGCGTAGCTTTTCATGCTTTCTTAATTATCATTCAATAAAATTAGGACTTATTTCATTCGACAAAAAAGGAATTTCACCTCTATCAAAAATATAAATTCGCTTTGCCTTATTTGTATGATGAAATAACTTACAGAAATGATTTCATTCAGTCCTGCCTTCCTATGAGATTTATCTTATAGAATAGAATTTTATTGAAATGAATAATATCCCTTTCTTAATTCACAAGTTCATGTTCCTGCAAATTAAAATGAATAACCTTCTCTCTCCTTACCTACATTCCTCCTTTCAATTTTTTTAAGTCACACCTTTAACTTTTTTTCCTACATGGCGAAATTAGAAAATAAAAAATCCAATATGCTATTAAAAAAAAAAAAAAACTAACTATTCCGGATTATTCTGATTCCTTCTAAGCTTCAGGTAAAAAACGTCATGTTTTTTAAATGCGCACACAGAGTGTTCCCTTTAAACGTAAATTTCGAAATAAATAAGTTAGAGTTTTATTACTTTATTAATTTCCTTCAATTTGTTACATAATATGGCACCATAAAAATAGGAGTTTTGCAAATTTCCTCGGTTGTGAAATAATTTTTAGGAAGTTACAGAATTTTCATATTAAACAACACCTAAAAAACACTTAAAAACACCTAAATCCTAAAAAATATCTGATTTCCTTCCTTCCTCATTGGCTCGACAGCCCAGGATGGGCCTTGGCCTTCTCCAGTAGTTTTTTCCAAGCTGTCCTTCTTTTGGCAATGGACTTCCAATTCTTTATTTTTAATATAGATAAATCTTTCTCCAGGGTATCTAGCCATCTGAGATTTGGCCTGCCCCTTCTACGTGTTCCTGTCGGCCGGGCATCAAAAATCTTTTTCACAATANATTTTTAGTGTAGGTAAGCTTCGGTATGGTTGATTTGATGCATTCCAAAGTAATGAAATAGATTTACTTGATTTATAAAGTATTCCTTTTACATGTAAGGGACGATCAATCTCCAATTCAGTACCCCCAGAGGTTTTGATTTGTTATACGATCATGGAGGACTTTGTGATCCGACCGATTTAACATATTTAAATGTTTTTAGAACATTTTTAAAGAATTTATTTCAAACATGCAAAACAAGAAGCATAGGTGTCCTCAGCATCGTAGCTTAAATATTATGAACTAAGGTAAACAACGTTAAAGAGCACAAAAATATTATTAAAAGCAGACAGCTGTTTCGGATGCTCAAAGGGCAACCTTCATCAGTGCAACAGTAGCACTGATGAAGGTTGCCCTTTGAGCATCCGAAACAGCTGTCTGCTTTTAATAATATTTTTGTGCTCTTTAACGTTGTTTACCTTAGTTTGTATTTTAGCACAAAGGTCGCCCACTTGTGTATTTAAATATTATGTTTGAGATAAAAATTTGTGCAAATGCGAAAAAAAATGTAAAGTAACAAAACAAAAGTAAACAAAATTTTTGATCTGAGTAAATGATGCAGTATTGAAGTGGGGAAAAAAATACTTTATTGTAAAATACAACTGGACATTGTTTTAAACACTATGTACAAATACTTTCATCAACAACAACTAAACATAACTTTCAATTCAACACATTCCAATTACATCACTCATTATCTACACTTTTTAAATTGATTAAAATATTTAAAAGAGTTTAATTTCGTAATTTACTTATACTCTTTGTTAATAACATAAGTGTCTCAATATTAAGCAATTCCACCTCTCTCCAAACTTTTCCCCATCTTCGCTACCACAATTGAGAGGAATTTTACTCTTTTCTACTGCAGTAAGAAGTTGGAATATACTTGAGTGGAGGAAATGAACAAGATTTCCCGAAACTATGGTAACGGGGTGCGGAAAGTGTGGAGAGTGTGAAAATCGCTCTATCAAATCTTTTTTTGGATTATTTCTTACTTTAAAAAAATTGGAATGTGCATCCTCTTGAACTATACAATAAACATTTACAAATGCATCTGGTTCTGGCGTGCTACAACTGGAAAGCGTCATGCCACCCCAACAGCTGCTGGTCTGGTGTCGAAAAGTTCTTGAATGACAGATTCTTCAGCAACGGTGCTCAAGTCGCCAAGTTCTCTGTCATCATTTGCAATCTTCCTGAGTATTCTTCGAAGGATTTTACCAGATCTGGTTTTTGGAAGGGCATTAGCGTAGTGGATGTAGTCTGGCGAGGCAAAGGTGCCAATTTTCGATCGCACTGAAAGAAAAAAAATTTTTAATTAATAAAGTAAGTAATTTTACATGGCAGAATACGAAAGTTGAACGAAATCGGTTGAATAGTTTCTGAGAAATCGAATTTTAAATATGCGAATTTTTCGATGGATTTCGAAAAATGCGCCTTCAAAACTATTTTCTTTTCGTTGCTAACACGACCAGTGTTAAAATAGGATTGCAAAAAACTAATTTTTTTTTGTTGCTAAGTGTAGCTTATCTCAGAGATACCAACTGCTCCGGACACGCCAAAATAGTTTTTAAAAAAACGGTAAATAACTACAAACTAAATTTCGCAAATATTTGACTATTTTTGCTTGATTTTTAAAAGATATAGTATGACATAACTACAATAAAGTGGTGCATATCTAACATATATAAGCCTACGAATTATTTAGAAATAGTGGTGGATAAAAATCTGCTAAATTGAATTTATTAAACCAATAATCACAATTGATAAACTACCAGTTTAAAATATTTATTTGCTGTCCAGAGAAAGTTGGCATCCCTGTTATCGTATAAAAAACACACATAACACTGAAAAGATATAAAAATATCAAATTAAACTTTTTTGTCGCTTACATTAGTTTCCTATTCTCCAGAATAGCTTATAATGTTGTTAGGTAGGTATTTTATTTAAGTTACTCTAGAGCGGCACAATGGGCTATTGGCGACGGTCTGGGAAACATCCCAGAGGATGAACCGAAAACACAACATTACAATTTTGATCCTTTGCAGAGAGAATGGTTTCCTCGCTTCTATAGCACGACGACCTACACACGAAGTCATACACTTCACGGTAGAACAGTTTAACTGGAACAGGTACTGCGCAATCTCGGTCCCAACGTAGGCTGATCAAAGTGGTCACCCACACGCTTACTGACCGTAGCCAGTGATGCTAATCTTCGGTGTTCTACTGAAAATCGTGTCTTTATAACCAGTCCACTACGAGACGAATAGCTTATAAGTAAACTTCAGAAACCATTTCGGAACTGGTAAATTGATAGCAGTTTCTGAATACAAATCGAATTTTTTAACAATGGATTGCATGCAAAAAATTGCAGTTTATTGTGTAATTTTTTTTAAAAATAAATAAATGCAAGGTCCTCTTAAAAAAATTGGGCAGAATTCCCATTTTTGTCCGATTTATACATTGTTGTCATCGGAAAATGAACACTTATTTCATATGAGGCTGGAATGTAGATTTTAAACAACGTTAAATTCAAACGCCTGTATTCAATTCGTATCCAAAATCAGTATTCAATGTAACAAAAACAAGCGGTGCTGCAAGTCATTCAGCTACAAGAACTTAAGGAAATAAGACTAATAAGTAGCGAGATAACTAAGAGTGCTTCAGATGTAGTAAATATCAGTGCAATTTCTTAATTGCACTTTAGTTAACTTAATTTAGGTGGTACTAATTTAGGTACTTAATTTAATCTCTAATACTATAATAAGAATATTTTAGATATAAGAAATGGTACCTTGTTCTCTCAGTTTATTCGTAAGTTCTGAACTCTGTGAGGCTGCCTAAAATAAAGAGGAATAAGTTACTAAACAGAAATTAAGACATGCAAAGAATTAAGTGAACAACTTTGACGTGGATATTTTGAAATTATTTTTCGAAGAAATGGGAAGATATTCTATGACCCCAATCGCTGATAAAACATCCATTGGGAGGAAAAAAATATCAGAAATTACTTATTTTTATTCACAAGGATGTAAAACTCAGCTACTAAAGAAAAAGGATTGAACAAGTGTCTAATTTTCTAGGAAGTAGAATTTATAGAATGCATGGGATCATAAAAGGAATTCTCGGGTTGCGACTTTACAATCCAGCGACTTTTAACGACCCGCTCTGTGGATTGGCATTTACTTACTTAAAAAAAAACTTGATTCTTGTATTTATTTTTTTTAGCTTAGGTAACAAATTTTAAAGGAAATAAAAGCTTGTATTATAATTGCGATGAACTACAGCCAAGAGATAAATGTCTTTAAAAAAAAAGAGAGATAGTCATTAAAAGGTCGCTGGATTTTAAATCGGCTTCCGGGTTAAGGGTTGGCTAGATAATTCTCAACTACACGCTGCTTCCACCAGTGGCGTGCAGTAAGTTTCTAGCCTATAAGAAGGCATCTGATTGAAGATTAAGAGCACTTAAACTAAATTCATTACTAGCATTTCTTATTATGAAGTTTAATTTTTTCACGGGAAGAAGATGGGTCAAACAAAATATTTAATGAAGAATAAAATGTTTCCCTTAAGCAAATGTTGCAATGAAGTTTAAAGCCGTTAAAAATGTAAACATTCCTTACATTTTGCAAACTGAGAATATCTGGTAAGGAAAAACAAATTTTATGAAACTCGTTGATGAGATTTAAAACAATTCAAATAGGATACTGCTTTTTATCACTTTTTATTAAGCTTTTTTATTTTTAAAAATTGTACTACAAACATTAAAATTTATGTCTGGTAAAATGTAATCTTTTTTTTTCTTTTGCTACTTTTGATTGACTTCTACTCGAGCACAAGCACATCTATTTCGTCGTACAATCGGTGCTTTTTTTTCTACATCGTATAATTTCAAGTTTCGAATGCAGATTCAGAAAAACTTTTCAAACATGAAAAAATTAGATTGGAAATGCTTTTAGTCTTCGAAAATGTGTGGTTTCGCTTCAGGTTGACACTTTATACAATTTCCATTGATGGCGTCAATGGAAATTTCATTGATGGTAAAGAAAGTGACTAAGTGATACAAAGCTGAACTGACAGTTACAAACTTACAATAGTTTTAAAAATAATATATAATTCGATATAAAAAAAAATGTTATTTGATGTGATGACAGCCATTTCAGGAATCTGTTTCTGGCCAGGTTTTGAATAAAAAAGTTAGACAGGCAGTACCATAATAGCAATCTCGTCCGTGAATTCTAAGTCAAGAGATATACTCTAAAAAACAGTGGATGCTAAAGGAGGCAGGAAGCTGAGAAGGAAATAGTTTTACTTTTTAAGAATAATATTTTGGGAATTAGTGTTGCCAGATTGGACACACTGATGGAAAATACAGTGATAAATCAAATATTCCGATATACGGTGATATCATTTACCTCAGTAAGTACGACAAAACAGTAAAGGCATTCTCCTTTCACAGGGTGTGGTAGAGCTACGGCAGCAGATTCGACGCATGATGTATGTTCGACCAAAGCAGATTCCACTTCTGCTGTCGATAAGAGATGTCCGGACACATTCAACATATCGTCCATTCTTCCAGTGATCCAAAAATAACCATCAGAATCTCTCCTGGCGCCTAAAATGGAAAAATTTCCTGTACTACTTGCATACATTTTTGTACTTTAAAAGGAGAAATCTGAAAATTTGTACGCATTATACCAATCTGAAAGGAATTTATTTCCGAGTATACAAGGTAGGTAGGTATTTTATTTACTTCGCACTGGATATGCACATTGGGCTATTGGCGACTGTCTGGGGAACATCCCAGAGGATGATCCGAAAACTTGCCATCACAATTCTGGATCCTCTGCTGAGGGGATGGCTCCTCCGCTTTGGTATTGCGACGACTTGAGCGTGAAGTCGAGCACCTTACGGTAGAACAGTTTAACGATGACCAATACCACGCACCCTCGGTCTCATGGCTGATTCATTTGAATGCCGCACCTGACTCGCATCGACCACAGTGCTGATGCGAAATCTCTCAAGATTAGTCTGACGGCAAGGGGACTCTAATCCACGATGTGTCTACCACTGAGGATAATTTATGTTAGCACTGTGGGCAGTATGAGCCGGGTGCGGAATTCGTATCCACCAGCCATCGCTGGGATTCGAACCCGGTTCACCTCATTAGAAGGCGAACGCTCTATTCCCTGAGCCGCCACGGCTGTAACATATGCTTTGTCCTCATAAATACGCCGCTGATCCCAAGCGTTATTGGACTCAACGAAAAGAAAACTATTTGATTTAGAAAGAGCTAATACCATCGCCTGTGCAGTAATAGCCAGGAAACTTCGTGAAATAGGTAGCTTCGAATCTTTCAGGGTTTCCAAATAAGCACCTCATCATTCCAGGCCATGGTCTTTTAAAAGCCTACAACATAAAGAAATTGTGTGTTACTCAACTCTGGACTAACTTATTTAAATTTTACTTATTTTCTACATTAGATGAAAGGTAATTATTACCAAGTAACCTTCTCCCGGTCCTTCAATCTCTTTGCCATGGTCATTTAGAAGAATAGGAACAACACCGAAAAATGGAAGGGTCTGAAAAAATTAAATTGTTCACATTTAAATATCATCGATACAATCAATAGAAGAATCCTACATAAACGATAGGTTAGTAGAAGTGCGAGTTATCAAGTCTTAAGCACTATTCTTTTGGCCGGATTGAATTTTGTAAAAGTAAAAATTGTTCGAAACTTACCGCTGAGCCTGGCTTTAAGGGTGTGCACTTTGGTAAAGGTGTAATAACGTGTCCACCCTGCAAAGAAGATACACAAATTTTATAAATTACGACAACAGCAAACACACATTAAACAAGTTATTGTACAGAGGTTCGCTTCGATTGGAAATGATTAAAACAGTCCTTAGAGTAGGCTTAGCAACGATATCCCGGATCTTTGACATCATTCTAGACGATTCTTGTATAATTCCACAAATATTAATTCTATCGCTTTGAAATTCTAATTTTCCAGAAGTACCATTTTGTCGATAAAAAGTCAGCAAAAATGTCTTCAAATCGAGTATTCCGTTAGAAATATATTGGGCGTTATTTTCCCTCTAAATTTCGCTAGAATTACGAGGCATTCTATAAATTTGTCGAATTAACAGTCTATTTAGGGTTTGTCTCTGACATTTAGCCTCATAAGAATATTTACAAATGTATACACATATTTAGAAATTCGCAACAATATCCAATGTGATGAAATGCAATCAAGCATTGAACTACAACGTATTACAAATCATGAAGGCTGTCAACATAAAAAAAAAATGAAAAAAATATTTAAATTCTTATTCAGAAATGCTTTTAGATAAAGGTTTGAGGAACATTTTCTGATTAACCACTTCCCTTCTCAATTTGTTTGAAAAAAAATGCAAAAAATAAACACATTTTTTTTATTTATTTTATTAATAGATACTAGGAACTAAACCGAAACATAATACACAAGTTTTAAGTTGAAATTTAAAATTTTTTTTTATGTGCAAAAACATTTAATTTACCATCAGTTTACTATCCAGAGTAGTCTCGGACAAACGAAAAAAGCAACATGAAAGTCTTTGTATAGTTTTTAAAAAAAAATAGGAGCCGGGATAGCCTGTCCGGTAAGGCGCTGGCCCCATGTCCGAGAGTTCGTGGGTTCGAACCCCGCCGGCCGAAGACTCCCCGTGTAGTAAAGTGACTGTTGCACGTTAAATCTGTCAAGTCACAAAAGTCCTCCATGTTCCCATAAAAAATCAATACTTCTGGGGATACTGAATTGGAGATCGATCGTTCTCTGATTCAGGTTAAAATTACGATCTCTGGAATTCCGATTCTGGAGCCGAATTCTTGGTCATAGATGGCGCCACTCGAAAACAAGAACAATTGCACCCCCTTCCTAAATAGGCATACGTCAACAACTACAAAACAAGAGGCAACACAAAGTGATACTTTCCGAACTCCAGTGAAATGATACGCCATTTTTTAACTCTTTTTTTTTTAATGCAAATTCAGCAATATTTTTCGCTTCCAATATCATTCATATATCAGCAATATATCCGCCTCCAATATTTCAGCAATTTTATTCATTATTTGCTTCCGGCCGATTAAAAATGTAATAAAACAAAACGTACAGACAAATTCTACTACGCACGAGTATACTCGGGATAATAAATATTTGCAATATATACATACCCGAGTTAACTCGGGATAATCAGGGAAGCGGTTAACAGTTTTTGAAAATTTGAGAGAGGTTCTGTTAATTGTTATCAATATAAGTATTATATAAAAAATGAAGTTAGTCAATCAATGTACCGTTTCAGACTGCCAGTAAGTATCTACGATGGAACATTTTTCATTTCCTACCACTTTGTGGTACCATTGCCATGCTTCGGGGTTGATTGGTTCGCCTACGGATCCAAGCACTTCCAGTGACTCCAGATTATAACTAAAAATGAAAGGAAATAGAAGAGATGTATTGAATAAGATCTGGTAAAAAAAAAAAAAAAGAAGAAAAAGAAATACAATTATGTAATACGTTTTATGGTTTTTGTTCACTACTCGTGCTTCACGGAGATCTATTTTTATTCAGAAAAAATAAGGCTGAGCTTAAAAGTTGGGCCAATGAATTTTTATTTTACAGAGGGCGGAGCTTTTCCTTTCTCGAAATACACAGTATCATATACCTGAGGTACAACTTTGGTAAATGCAAATGCTTTTGCAAAGTCAAGACTATTCCCCCCCCCCTCTTAAAAATCAAGACCTACGATCAAATAACTAATCTTGACATCGACAGGAAGACAGCCACCACTCTCATCAGACTATAAGAACAAAACATCATAAAAGCTTGAAAATCTCTGTAGATAGGACTAGAAAATATCGAAACTGTGGCAACTGTCTTAATGTGGAACTCACACCATATCATGTTTTTAACTGCCCTGCAGTCGCTGCAGGTCTTCACCTCTTAAACTACCCTACAGAAGAAGATTTATATTCATTTAATACCATAGAGATAGCAAAGACTACTCAAGCACACCATGAGATATGACTGAATTGAGGATACGACACCAACCAACCAACAATTTTGTTTACAATTGATCAGTATTTGTAATATACAAAATTTAAACTGAAACGGCCGAATAATCTGAGGAATGAAAATTTATAAATACTATTTTACAAAATTTATCACTCAGTAAGCATTGAGTAGGTTTTTTTGTTGTCAACTTTAAATTGTCTCCTAAAATTACATAATTTCAAATTATGTGCGAGCCTTACACTTCAAACATAGTTAAATGATAAATAAGATAATGAATTATTCTAAAAAGTATTTTGCATGACATTTTTATGCAATGAGTTTTACAATTTTGTAATTTTTTATTTTCTTAACCTGATAATCGGAGAGTAAACTTTTGCTCAACTCCTTTCATAATGGGGACTATTTTCTTAATAGTTATAAGTAATATCATCACAAATAAAGTAATTTCCACGACGAAAAATGTTATTCCCATTCTAGTAGTAGCTCGTGTAGGACGAAATATTTCGTCATACCCAGTTAGCATGTTAAACAAAACAGCACTACAGGCATTGCATAATACGTAAAAAGCGAGAAATTAGCATTATAAGGGAACCAAATTTTTGAACTTTTTTTCTTGATTATTTTAAACATACTTTTTCGAAATTGTGGGTATTCCCGTAATTAGAAAGTTTAACATCGAAATCTGTCGAAAAAAAGGTTTGTTTAATCAAAGATAACATGCTTTTGGCTTGGGTCTTCTTTCGTAACTGAAAATATCGTCTGAACATTTCATGTAGAGCCGATTAAAATTAGACTACTATTTGGATGTTCCATTTCTTTTATTCAGCACATTCTAAATCGTGCATATAATAATAGGCAAATTGCAAAGCTGTACTTAGTAATAAAATCCTTTCAGTTTTAGAGCTTTTAGAAACCTGAAGTGAAGTCTTACCTCTTTACGTACGAATCACCGTATTTCATGAGTGTTCTGACAGCCGTCGGTGCCGTATAGAATTTGCTAACGTTGTAATGTTCCACGATCTCCCAGTACCTGCCTGGGTCGGGGTAGGTGGGGACTCCTGAAAACTGAAACATACAACATTTATTATTGATACATACAAAATTAACGTTGTAAGAAGATTAAAAAACAAATGAAATTTGAAAATTGAAGTTCTCCGGATAAAAAGGCATTCATATTGAATCGAAAACAATCTCTTTGAATTGAAGGAAATCTTAGGAAATTGATTCAAAGAGTTATTTTGTGATCAATTCCAATCAATCAAATACCACGTCAATCCTCTACTTCTGAGAAATTTGGCACAATAAATAACGAAATGCATATTGATAATGAACACTTCATTTGCTTCATAAATTTCAAAAGTGGAAAAAGTAGAGCTTTCGAGCGCTGAGAAATAGGCACTCTTTCCCAAGATCCTCCAGACGTGAGTAAAGAAAACAAGACTGATTTTAAACTAGAAATCAAACTAGCCAATGGAAAAAAAAAAAAAAAAAAAAAAAAACGTGAAATGCCACAGTTTTCAAAAGGAAAATCAGAGCAGATAGCATTTTAGCATTATTGCTATTTAAGTGATTAACTCGTGTCGCCAACCACAGAGAATCGGCATTTATATGAATGAAACAAGGTTCCAAGGCATGAAGATGAGCTCATCTGACAGGAATGGAAAGAATTTCGGCATTATCGAAAATGAATTTAAGGTCGAGATTCTAACAATGAGCAGCAATAGATGATTTATTGAATTTTAATGTCAGTTTTGACGTTGACATATCCATAACGATTCCTTAATCTAAATTTTAAAGCCTATTTGGTTTTGCAGCGTTCTGCTAAGCTAATATAGGCCTTCTCATCGAATTCAAATGCTAATTGATAAGTTCGAAAGATGGCGTTTTTGTAACTTGAAAACCTTGAAACAATGTTTTCAAATTCGCCACCATTAAAATCGACAGTGTGGTGCAGTCGGAAGACGAAATTAATAGACACAATAATCAATAGACAAAAATAATAAAATTAAATAGTGGCCCACGGTCCCTGCTTTTCAAGCAGGACGGGAAAAAATTATTATATTTAGTTTCAAATAAAAATTTAAAAGATATAAACGTGGGAATTATTTCCAATAAACAGAAATCTGTAATTACCAGAACACACGTGGCTCCTTGAAGAAGAGGGCCGTACACCCCATAAGTATGTCCAGTAATCCAGCCAATGTCGGCCGTACAGAAGTACACGTCTGTAGGTTTGTGTGCAAACACAAACTGGAATGTGGTGGCAGCATAGATCATGTATCCGGCAGCAGTATGTAGCACACCTTTTGGTTTGCCCGTGGAGCCACTAAAAATATAAAAAATAAAAACTTATTCTCCAAAAAGAAATTTGAATTTAAATAGTTCTATTAGCAAGCACTTATTTTTATAAATGGAAAAGCTTTGTGGATTCAAAGATATTGCACAATAATAATGATGATGAGTATCGATAATCTTAAAATTTTGATTTTCCAAAACTGATTATCCAAAGACTCTGGATAATCAAGGCTTGCTGTGTATTAATGTTCGAAAAATGGGATTAAATAACGGTGAAATGGGAATACGTAACGGGGAAATAGTAACTGGAATTCACTATGTGACATCACGCATGTAGCCTGTTATACGAAGCACTTTCTGGTTTACCTTTGAGCACTGATTTACATTCATGGGCAAGAAATTCCACGTTAAAAATAATTCCATTAGTCAGCTGAAAACACTATATTTAATCAATTTATGCTGTATTATCACAGATTATCTACGAAATTGTATGTTTATAGCGAGGAGTGTTTGTAAGATTTTTACCTCTAGATGGCGCCACCAGATATCAACAATATTTAAGAATTGGAAAAAGAGAGAAGATGGAATGTTTCGGAGGTAGCGGAGCTGCTTTTGAACGATGTGATTTACTATTATTTCTTTATTTTTTTTATTTAATGTTTTTTTGTTTGTGATGTGGCATAAGTACTTGTTATAATAAATTTGTTTTCTGAAACGAAAACAGTTCATCGTGAAATCAATTTCACATAATGGAATTTTGAAAAAGAACCTGCTAACGTTTACTGTCTTGATTAAAACTTGATTATGTCCGAAAAAGAATACGTTACTTCGGAAAGTTAATGATTAAATTAAATGACTCAAAAATTAACTCACTGATTTAATATTTGGAGTAGATATTAAATACTGTGCAAACTCAAATGTGATATCAAGTATTTAGCCTACAATATGAAAGGCACCTTTTATTTCCATGTTAGTAGAGTCATTAAAAGACAACCTCAATTCAAAAAATAATGTTATTTAAAAATAAAAAAAAAATCTATTAATCAGACATGTATTGCTGTAAGCTATTACTTAACTCTTAATAAAATATTCTAATTACTGTTTTTTATTGATAAGTATTTAAAAAAGGTATATTTGAGAAATTTTCTTTTTTTTTTTTAAATTTAAATTTTGTAACTAATTATTAAATATTGCTGCTGTTAGTTAATATTTGACTGTATTTTACTTTTTAAAAATGTCAGTGATATTAAAAATATTGCAGACACAGCTGAATTTTTTTTTTTTTTTTAAATGGACGCAGCTCAAAGTGCTTCTTTTCAATGTTAAATCTAAATTTAACAACTATACAAGGAATTTCGTATTTACCTATCACTACATTTTTAAGCACGAAGCATAATCATTATGGGGCAAAGTCCAGGGGCTCGGTGTGGCTAGGTATATTACAGTTGTAACTCTTCGTAACCAGAAATTTAAGCGATTGAGTTTTAAACAATTTAAATTCGTACAACCTCAATTTAATGCCACTATTATAAATTTATAGAATTCATGACAAACTTGTAAAGAGATGTGTTTGCTTTTAATATCTTTTCAGAAAAGGCTCAATATTTCAAATTAACGACATCACATTACAAATTTATTTGGTTGGTAGGTAACACTTTATGTCGCACTAGAGCTGCACAATGGCCTATTGGGGACAGTCTGGGAAACACCCCTGAGGATGATCCAAAGACATGCCTTCGCAATTTTGATCCTCTACAGAGGGCATGACTCTCCTGCTTTCGTAGCCTGCGTGCGAAGTCGAGCACTTTATTTTAGAGCAGTTTAACGAGGACCGATACCGTGCACTCTCGATCCCTACGCAGGCTGATCAAAGTGGTCATCCACCTGCTTACTGACCGCAGCCTTTGATGCTTGACTTCGGTGGTCTACTGGGAACCGTGTCTTTATGATCTGTCCTCTGCGGGACGCAAATTTATTTGGATTTATTAGTTTATTCTTTAAAAAGAAAAACTTTCCACCTTTTCTTAATTTTTTAAAAATAATTTTCCTATTTTTCTGTAATTTTTCCTTTCTTAGAATGCAAAAAAAATGTGGATAGTTTAGACAAAGAATATAGATTCTATATTCTAGATTCTATATTCTAGATTCTATATATTCTTTGGTTTAGATACCTGGTGTAAAGAATAAATAGCGGATGTTCCGATTCAACCCACTCTGGTTCGCAGTTAATAGAAGCTTTTTCCATCTCTTCGTGCCACCAGAAATCACTATCACTGTTCCAAGGAATCTAAAATAGAACATTTAAATAGAATTAGAAAATTCTGTATCAAAGAGTGATTATTGCTGGTAGAAATTATTTAAAATAATCATTAATTACCTGGACATTTGGAGAATTTATTGTTTGGTTGGAATTATAGTTCATGTTATTGTTGACAGTATCTCCCAAGGTTTTGACAACTATACACTTTACTTGAAGATTTCTGTAAATAGAATTAAAATTAGATTTTTATTGTATAACAAACATCTAACAGCCAGAAATAAAAGATAATTCAAATTCGCAGATTTGTAAATAAACTTCACATTTTAAATCTATACTATAATGAATAGCTTAAGTTTGAAAATGCATGTAGGCGTAATTTTAAATATCACCAAATGTTGAAATTTCATTTGGTTGGTTAAAATTAAAAGACAATAGACAGTTGTAAAAAAATTATGTAGATAAATAATTTAGGGGGGGGGAGTATGAGTTTAAGGGGAAAGATGGATACAAAAGAACATTTTCCTGCTTAAGAGTTAAATGCACTATTCCTATTATATTTTTAAACGATACATTGAATGACAGAAGTATAGAAACGGTTTTTTTAATTTATTATAACTACAAAATGATAGCTTAGTCAAGGTTTGGGGTTTGGTTTCATATGCATTTTCATTGGTGTATGTAGTTTTGACAACTTTTTTTTTTTAATCTTCAAATTGATAAAAATAAAGATTTAGCTATCTTTTTATTAATTTGTTAGTAATTTTTTTTTATTACTTTACTCTTTTAATTTCACTTTACTGATAACAGTTTATTTTTATCCCGAGATTATTATTTATAACTCAATCAGTAAATTTTTTTTTATTCTTTTGAGCTTTAAGCTTTGTTTACTTTGTAAAATATATATTTTACGAAACATTGCCATACCCTCAAATTTTTTTCATCAGTGTGTTATGAAAATTAAGTTTAAACTATGTTTAGCGATTAAGAAAAATTAAGTACACTGGTTATATTATTAATTTATTGCACTACTGAAGGTTACTAGACATCCTAACTATCCACCCGTTCGTTACGATGGCTTCGACAAATCTTGCTTTTTTTTCCTCCATGGCAGTGCGTTTCAGCCCGAAGTTATAATATACTGATATCTAGAAAAATATTTTTTCGAAACCATGGTAACGGAGAAGGGAAGAGTATTTAAGTTATCTTTCTTCTCTAATTTTCGGGGCATTTAATTTTTTTAAAAGTAATAACGGAATTCCTGTTTTGATATTTGAATCTTGGTTTAATTAATTTGTTTATAGACTTTATATTTACTTGATTGAACACTGGTGAATGGCAGAATCAGCAATGTTTTTCAAGTTTATCAATTTGTTTCCTCTATAAAATCCATCTGAAATAAATAAAGGAATGTTATTTTTCCACACTCCAGTTAAGGAATTTCTTAATATTTATACCTACAGGTGGCTCTTAAAAAATTAAAGAATATCAATAATTAATGCAATACACCAAAACAGCTGTTGAACATATAATTGTTATTGAATCAATTGATTAAATTCTTGATATATTATATTAATTAATAAAATATTTATTGTTAATGAACTAAAAAAACAAACGAGAAAGCTCTCAAGGGATTATTTAATCACAAGAGTTACCGCTTAATCGCAAGAGTAATCTCTAGAGACATTAATATGTGCTTTACTTAGCTAATCAGCAGATCTAGGGTGATTTGTTAAAGTGCGGAATCAAGTAATGTCTGCAATTTACTCGGTTAATGTACGCATCAACGGTTTCTGTATCGTTAAAGCTTAACAGTTTGTTCCAATCATTCTATCAATTCATTGACAATTTGATGGTATTGATTCAATTCTTCAGTTAACGAAAAATAAATAAACTATTTATTCCCTGTATTGTAAAATGATTGATTCTATCAACTAGCATGCCAAGTGATTACAGTAACGAGAGTTTTTTTAGATGCAAAAAATAAATAATTAACACTATGTTAATTTAAACGTAGGGTTGTTAATTAAAACGTGTTGCTGTTTTCCCTGATAAAATCTTATTCTCATTTTAACGTGACTCATTTTAGTGATATGAGAAATGAGAAAAAAACTTTGGCAGGTACTTTAGTTACGTCGCACTAGAGCTGCGCAATGGGCTATTGGCGACAGTTAGAGAAACATCCCTGACGATGATCCGAAGACATGCCATCGCAGTTTCGATCCTCTGAAAGGGGATGGTTCCCTTGAATTGGTAGCCCGATGAACTGAGCGTGAAATTTAGCACTTACGGTTGAGCAGTTTAACGAGGACCGATACCGAGTACCTTACGCAGGCTGATCAAAGTGGTCACCCACCCGCTTACTGACCGCAACCAGTGATGCTTGACTTCGGTGTTCTTCTGGGAACCGTGTCTTCACGATCAGTTCATTGCGGGACACAATTTTTCGGCACTTCAACGAATCACACCAGTTAATTTGCCTATCAGCTAGATAATCTGCCGAAAAACTGATTTCCACACTTTATCGGTAACATACACACAATCTTTTAAAGTCAATTTAAAATGTTGATGTTTAAAAAATTTCACCTGCAGTAACTAAAAGAGAACTCTTAGAATCCATCATTCTTTCAGTCAGGGAATCAGATGAATAACCACCAAACTGAAAAAAAAAAATTTGGCATATTAATTTAAACTCTATATTTTCTTCTTACGAAATGAATAAAGATAACGAACGACATTTACCACAACGTTATGTGTAGCTCCAATTCTTGTGCAAGCCAGCATGGCGACAACGCCTTCAATTATCATTGGCATGTAAATGGTTACTCTGTCACCTTTTCTGATGCCTGCGGGAAAGAAACAAAATTCAGCATCTTAATTATTCGATAGTTGCTAATTTTTAAATTAATTTTAGTAAAGTAAGCCGACTGAATTATTTTAGGACAGATTAATTTTAATAAAGTTATGTGATTGTCTTAATAATAAGTAAGTCAGCAACCATCTCTCATTCTAAAATTTAGATCTGCGAAAAGGACTTAGGTCCGGCACCCCGGCCAAGTGACCCAGCTAAGGCCATCTGTGACTTTTATTGAGTTTCAAAATATAAAAATATTTGGCAAGAAGCCTAGAATCATACCTTATCAATTAATACATTACATCAAACATTAGTATTTTACAATGTTAATTTCATTGAAACTCAGGGACTTCAACTAGTATCAACCAGTAACCGATCTATAAATAAGAATCAAAAGTCGAAAGCAACAAAGTCGAACTTAAAAAGAAAAACAGTTTAATATTTTTAAATACTAAGCTTTATGTATTTTATAGAGGCTGGTTGAGGAGCAATTTTTTACCCAAGCACCATATTGCTTTATATTATAATTCATGCAATCTACAAACACCAACGTTTCTGTTTTACAGTCAACAATAATGAAGGAGATAACTTGCTCAATGTCAATCAGTATAAGAGAGCCATGGTAGATCAGAGGATAGAGTGCTCGCCTCCAACTGAGGTGAACTAGGTTCGAATCCCGGCAATGGCTGGTAGATTCAAATTCCGCAAAGACCACAGTACTGACGTAAAAGATCCTCAGTGGTGGACGGAACATAGGTTAGAGTCCCCATGCTGTTTGGCTGACCGTGGGTGGTTTTAATGATTTTCCTTTCCATGTAACGCAAATGCGGGTTAGTTCCATCAAAAAGTCCTCTACGAAGGTAAATTTCTCAATACTTGATCCAGGAGTTCCCTTGTCTTCTGGATTGGGTTCAAAATTACAAAGCTACTGAATTGGTAGTCGTAAACTGAAAATTTAGTCGGCTGCTCCACGACGGTTATAAAATTAAAAAATAAAATTAGCTTAAGAATCTGTTAAGTTCAGTAAAAACAATGCCTTCATGAATGAAAATATGTCTGTACTTTTAATAATCAAACGAAGAAGATATTTTTTCAGATTTTCTAACGCTGGATTATATATTAAGAGTGTTGCAAATTAATATTTATGGGAGGAAAAAAAACTCAATTGAAATCCGCTGAATTATTAGTGAGGAAAGCGGGATCAAAAACTGACTAATTGCGCAGAAAGAAAAGTGGTACGTTTTCTAATAGGGGTTGCCGGTTTTGGTAACTTTTTTGTTTTTTACTGGATTCAAAATTAATTTGATACCTCTAATTTGTGTACATTTTTCATTTTATTTTTGACGAGAATTCTAAAAATATTCATTAAGGGCGGTGATTATGAAACACCCTGCAAATTAACCGTTATTTTCGTAAGTGGTGCGAAATTAGTTAATGTTATCAAGATACCAAACATCTTTTTATATCACACACACTCAATGAAATAGAACTTCTTGATGGGGGAACTGGGATTGGTGAATATTATTCAATCGATTCAAACTCTAACCCTTAAAAATCTAGTTCTATTGAACAAACGAATCATTTCCAAAAATAAAGGCTCATAATAGCATTTGACATTTCATTGAGTTTTGTATGCAAGCATTTGATCATAGATAAACTTTTAAAAAGAAATCCGCACAGATTTGCTATAACTGACGTTGGGTCAAATTGCTCGAAAACAAACTTCATAATTTGTTATTCCATGCTGTCATGAAGTTTCCAGAAAGTTAAAAAGTAATTACTTTTTTAAAGTAACAGGAGCAGCAAAATATAATTTTTATTCCTATCTCAGAAGTAACTCCCAACTAATAAAACAATTTTGTTTTTATGATCTTTGTTTTAATTTATTAAAAGTAATATAGTTGAGCGCTGAGTTAGGGGGTTAAGGAACCGGAAGCGGCTAAACTGCACCAAATACGACAGTTGTCGTAAATGTAATAAAATAAAACGAAGTTTAAATCTGACAGTCTTAAAGAAGCTGAAATATGAATGTACTACAGATTACAGTTATCCAGTTTCAGAATATATCTCACTTTTAGTTTTGTAACTCATGTAGCCATAAGATCGCGCACATTTTCAAGAATTTTGCCTAAGAGGCAAGTTCTCTGAAATTTCGATGCCACTCAGGTACAATTTTAAGTATTTTAAGTGAATAAATTACCTTTTTCTTTTAAGACGTTAGAAAATTTGCACACCAATTTGAGAAGTTGTCGGTAAGTGACAGATTTCCTTTCATGGCTGTTGTTGCCTTCCCTGCAAGCAAACAAATTTTTATTGAAGAAAAAAATTATTATGTAGATCCTCGATTATGCAACGTTTAATCACTCGATACCTAATATCGTCGATACGTTAATATCGTCCTGGCTCACTTTTTACCATTATTGCAACAGTATGCTCAAGGGAGCCAATGCAAAGCGTTAAAATAATATTCAAAAAATAAAATATGTATTATACTTCTATCATAAATAAAACTTGTTTTTTCAGGAACTATTCGCCCGATTTCGCACAACTTTTGTACGTTGCTATGTAAAATCGCATTTTTTTAAATGTAATGAACTGTATACCTTACAATTCAAAATGTTTTCGACTATTATTAAATACAATGAAAATAATAAACATTTACTAAAAGTTTTTTTTTACATCGAATTATTTTTGGTTTTAATTTTTTAATTCACTGAAGACGTTCTCGAAATATGGCAAAATAATCAAAAAATAAAATAAACATTAAGGTGTCCAAACTTTGGGCTGTTTTTCTGATCCAACTAGTGGGACCATATTTCCCAGATGGCTGTTACCCCCTATATTTTGGGTTTTACAAATCCTGATCTGTCGGAAAAAAAGGTATCTTTGTTATTAGACAGTACGTTTTTGAGTCTGATTTCGCCACATAAAATATCGTCTGCACTAATTAGCATATTGGAGACAACCCCCTCGAACCATCAAGATTGTGGCTTAGGATGTGGAGATCCGATTATTAGATCAAAAGTTATTCAGATTGGTTCGTTTTATTTTTGCATACTGTACTTAACTATAGCTATGCTAAATTAAATTTCAGTTGATAAGTAATGAAAAATGCGTTCTGGTCATATATTATTTAGCATAAGTGACATATTTCTAATAAATTACATACAACATGACTTACAAAAGATATATCGGTCTATTTTAAGGTAAAATTTAATTTGAAAAAAATAATAATAATAATAATAATAATAATTTCCAATGCAGCGGAGAATAAAAATAAATCCTTGTAAATCGCTCAAAGAAAAAGAAAATCTCGACACCACTTTTACTAAAGAAAAACACTGTTTTGTAATCTTATAAATCAAAATAAAAATGTAGCAAAATTTTCCGATACAACTGTTATTTTACTTTCGCTGTGCTTTGTATTTTAACAAAATTTTTTGTCATACTTAAAGAAATACAGTAATATTAGTACAAAAAGAAATATTGTCATATGTTAAACCTTAACGTTTGAAACAGTTAAAATTGAAACTATTTAAATACCATTAAATATAAATACGAAAATCATATGATTTTCAAAAAATACTTTAAAAATCTTAAAATAGAATCAGTTCTGGCTATTAATAATTTTATGTGTCATTTTGATTCCTTATCTTTTTATTGTTTAGATCTGAATTTTTTCCAATTTATTTTTATTCTTATCAACTTAAATATTTGCCTTCATTGTTTGCAACAGACTATTTATGGGTGACAAATTTAATGTTACTTTTATTTAGTAATGTTTACAATTTATCTCAGATTTTTATCCCTAAAAAAAGGAACAAATAAAAATACAGATATTCCTAATAAGGTCAATTATGATGCTATCAATGTTCGAACGCAAACATTTCACCTAAGAACAAAAATGAAACAGATTCGAATCGCTGTTTTAATGAACGCTCATTCGCCAATGTGAGCAAATGAAAATAATTGAGAAATTCTTAAATGACACTTAATGACATGGATATTGTTATGATTGCTACTTTGTTTCCAGAACGTTACAGCGCTTCCTATTACTAACCCATTAGTGTTTATATCGTATTTTTTCAATAATATTTTTTATTAGATGGCGTCAGACAGATTAGAAAATTACTTACACAACTGAAAGATGCTATGAAAAATATCTCGCTTAATAAATTTACTAACATAAAAAAGCATTAATGGAATTTTTGCCATTTTGTTTTCATTTGTAAAAATTTGAAACGCAACGAAATGTTTGTAATGAAAGATTCAAGGAAAATAGTGTTCTTAGAATTGTGTTAACTGATTTATTTCCTCTGAATATAATATAAAAGTTAAGCCTAACTGGAAAGCTATTTTTTCTTCGAATTTCCTACGCCCTCAATCTTATAAAAAAACAATGTTATTATTTTTTTTACGGTTTTTTGTTGTTTATCTTTCAATAAATTGATATTTTGTTTTATGTTCTGTAACTAGAATTTTTTTTATATTCTTTATTCTAATGAATTTGTTGAATTCGAATTAATTTGCGAATTTGAATTTGTTTCCTCACAAATAAAATAAAAAAATCCAATTAAAGAAAATACGAGAAAACAGAAATTTTAGAAATAGGAAAGATTTTTAAAAATAAGCTAAGAAAACCCTGCATAAACTTAAAAATAAAGGAATGTGATGATTGTAGACAATGAAATGACGGAAACATTAAATATCTAGCTGTCTAAAAGTAATCATCTAATTTAAGTAAACATCGATCTAAAGTAAACATTTGAGTAAACATCGAATATTTAATTAATTTAATTAATAAATTTTTTTTAATTAATTTAATTAATAAAATATATTACTCTTCATTTAAGCAAACAATGGATTCTTTTTAAAAATGTTATTTAATTTTTATTAATAGTATCGATTCGTTTATAACGTTTTATTTTTGATAATTCGAATTTTCCTATTTTTCTAGTCTTCAAGTTTGTGCTATGGCTGGCTTTGCTATAATTCGTTTTTTGATTTCCCTAAAGTAAACTTAAAATAGTTATTTATTAGATAAAATATTTTTTTTAAAAGTTTTTAATTATCTTACCACAAAATTTAAAAGGTTTTCTAACATATCCAAATACATACGCTAAGTATGTGACACCTTGTCATTTCCTTAAACAAGAACTCAACTTATAACCAATTAGAATAAAGATAAATATTAGAGTGAAGGCAAGTTTTAAAATTTGTCAAAAAATTGCCTTTAATTAAAAATTTAACTTTAATCTTCATTTTGAATAGTATATAAGCCAATTTGAATATCTTTTTTTTAATAATCTTCTTATTGTCTATAATATCTAGTGTGGATAAGTCAATCATTCGAAAAATATCTTCGAAATGAATTCGAATTAATGCATTTATATATATCTCATCGTTTAAAATGCAATGATATTTCACGATCAACGAATGTCCGAGTTTATTACTAGTGTATAAGTCGAACCCCTGATTTTCGTAAAGTTTTGGATGTTTGAAAACTTGACTTATAAATCGGGATACACGATATTCAAAGAATAGGTGCATCTTTCGTAAGGTCAAAAATTAATGATGTTTAATAAATATTTTTCCGGAAGTGAAGCTCAGTGTAACTATCTGCTTACATAAATTGTATAGTTGTATTTGGATATTTACTACTTATGCCGTCTCAGTTCTCGGTAATTAACTTCTAGTTACAACTATCCTTTAAAACTCGTAAAAATTTTTACATTTCTACTGCAGTACAAAAATTTCCCAAAAGGAAGGGGACTAAATTTTGTTTTTATTTAAAAAAATGTCAAACGCATAATTTCGATTAATTACAGCTCAGGACTAATTTGCACTCTAGAGCCCTCTGAAGTGGTAACCTTCTATTTATGATCAAGTAATTCTGATTAATTTTTAAATCATGTTCAGTAATAGCTTGCAGAGTTTAAATATTTCCATCGCATTTAATTCGGGTATAATTTTTTGAACAAGTTTTATAAACAGATGACTTCAAAGTAATTTCATTCTGATATTAATTTGGGAAAAATGAAAGATGATAGAAATTTTTATGATTTGCTTATTAAACAAAAAATATTTTCCAAAATTTCAAAATTATTTATTAAGTTTGTCAATATATGGCACTGCTAACCAATCAATATTATCATCAATTAATTGCTAATTGTTAAGTTATTGCAATTGTTGTGTTATTGCAATTGTTGTGTTATTGCAATTGTTGTGTTATTGTCAATTGTTAAATTATTGTTAATTGTTAAATTATTGTTAATTGTTAAATTATTGTTAATTGTTAAATCGCATCAACTACGTTTACTACTCTTTATTCCAAGCAATTTCGAAAAGTTTAGAAATCGAAAACGTGTTAAATATTAAAATCCAAAAATAAACTGATAGATGACACCTTGATAAATAAAGTGGATCAACTTTGTAATAATATTCTAGAATTGGACTGTAGTAAATTTAAACTGTTACCACAGGACCGTAAATAGAACCCTCCTATGTCAATCGTAAATGATAACCAAATTACCATTTGCAAAATACAGAAACTACGGCGAGTAACCGAAATCGGAAAAATGTGATCTAGATAGTTTAATCGGAAGAGCGATTGTAAGTTTTGACCCCTTAATATTTAACTTATTTCTAATAAATAATTACAAACTAACAAATTATTTTGTTAAACAATTATAAAACTCGTTTAAATCAAAATAAAACATAGATGTAAGGATATTGTTTTTCAATTAATAATTGTGTTTTATTTATTTTCGAAGTCCAAATTTGACGAAAAAAAGTATTTTCATACAGAGAAATTATGTAATTTGTGCTTAATATCGTGACTCAAAATATTGTTTGACTAAATGTTATAGCAATTTTAAAATGAATCCTAGTGCATGAAAATCCAATCAGGAAATAAAAAATCATTACGATGACATATTTTTCTCTTAGAAGCACTACAAAACTCTACCATCATGATCTATTAAAAAAAGTCGTAAAAAAAGTTAAAATTTACAATACTTTTAAACAATAGACAATTATTACATTTGCATTGCAGAAAAGATGTTGAATGATTTCAACTAATAAAAAACAGTTTGAATTATCAATTATTAAATGATGATATCCACAAATTACAATAAAACAATAGACAAAACTTAAGTTATAATATAAGGGCCATTTGTACAAAATTTAAACATTTTAGTTAAATCGTAAAGCAATTTAGAGAAACTTTAAATAAATTTAAAATATATAACCGTATCGGTAAAAATCTTGGAGATTAGCAACATAAAAAGTGATTCGATGTCGGCCAAACTAGACTGTATAAAAAATTATAAAAATTTGCTTTGGTATCATTAAAAATAAATAGTCAAGTCAAAAATGTGCTAAGAATTCTTCAAATTAAAAAATTGAGATGAAAATCTGTTTGCTTCTAAAGTCAAAATAGTAGTGAGTATTATATAACATTTCACACTGCTTTAAATAGAGTATAAAAATTCATATTAAACGATATTATTGTTAAGATAAAAAGCCACTTACCAGTAATAAGCAATTTTGTTGCCAAATCCATTGTTGACATTATAATCTAATGCATTGTAACAGATATTCGTTTCACCATTTTCCATCCATTTGATGGAAATCGGACCTTTTCTTGGATCAAAGTTAAAGCTGCAGCAATTTTGATTTGGTTTCGTTCTCCAAACGAATTCGTTAGCAACTGTTAACCAGAAAACTTCAGGATTTTCAATGGAAAGCTTATACAATTTGTTATAATCTTCTAAGTTTCTTATTTCCAAGTTTTGCAAGCGAGTTTTGACAGACTGGATCGCAGGCATTGTTGTATTTTGATTTAAAACTTTATCTTGATTTTCTAAAATTCCGTTCAAAGCTAAGTCCGGCATTTTCTAAGTGAAACTTAAAACTTAAACTGAGGTTGAAAATTAAGAACGCATAAGCTAAAAAGTGAACTGCACAGCAGTGTTGCTTATTTTAAAAAAGGATCGAAGGAAGTTCTTAAAGCGCGAAGAAAGACATAAGGAAAATTGTTTTTAAAAAGGTAAATATCCAGGCGCGAATGAAAATTCACAGACTCTTTATATTAACTCGCTTGTTAACTACTCAAATTTTGACGTCATTAGTGACGATAATTTTTCTTCCAATAACAAAAGGGAAAGGTGGAACAAAAAGTATTGGCTTTTATTCAACTTCCTAACATTAACCGCCGTCTTAGAATCTTATTTTAAATTACCTTTACATGTCGTTACTTTTTACCTTTACTTGTCTAATAAAAATTTATTCGAAAATAGCAATTTAAACTGTGAAATAATAAATTAGAACTTAAAATCTGTAATATTTTGTTCCAAAGACAGGTGACTAACGCATGATGAAAGGGAAAATAAATCGTCCGGTAAAAAGTGACTAACGCATGATGCAAGTATGATGAAAGTTCAAACGATAGAGAAAAAAAAAGCGTGTTCTATCACACGACTAGAACATGGCCGCAAAAATCACGCTACACTTCATGATATGAAAACGATATTTTTGGAATCTTTTTATTTGCTTTTATTCTTTAGATAAGAGAATAACCTAAAATTAATTCGCAAAGGGAGAGAAAGAGGTTTCTTTATTTAGATAACTTAGATGGGTTTGTTTATTTTTGTTATTTATATCTTCCACGTCGACAAATGAAACAAAAGTTTATTTTCTATTATGATGTGGTAATTCAATGAGGTGACATGGCCTGAGTTTAAGTTCTTATCAAATTGCATTTGTTAAGTGTTTGATTGAAATGTGTGAAACATTTTGCTTCAAAAACTGATAATAATTGACTCATGAAATTGATTTAATTGAACTTCGATTTAAACATCCTATATGACTGAAACATCCTATATGAGCTTTTAATAGAATCTAGTCTCAAATTTTTTAATTTTTAAGAAAAACAAGAGAAGTTGATTGTACAAATTTAAATAAAACCACTTTTTTGGTATGAGTTCCTATAATTAAAAATTAGCTTAAATTGAAATTTATATTATAATTGAAATTTATAATCGAATCAGTTATAATTGCAATTTATTACTGAACAAATTATAATTAAATTTTTTAATTGAATCAATAATAATGGAATCAATTACAATATAATGAATTATACTTGAATTGAAGAAAATATTATTAAAATGAAACAATTGTAATTGAAATTTATAAAATTTCATTCAACAAATTTTTTTTTTCATTGTTTGTTTTGAAATAAATCTTCTGATAAATAATGATAAGGATGCTTTACATGACCCAACTTTTAATCATTTAAAATTAAATTCACGGTCACTATTGCCACAATGTTATTATAATTAAATAAACTTTTAAATCAAACAGCAAATGTCACGTGCCTTACAGTTTTTTTTCTTCTTTTCTTTTTGGCTTTCCAGAGATTGGGTCGAAAGGGTATGTTTTTTGGTAAATATGTGATTAATTTATGTGCATTTCGTTTAAAATTGATTAGAATTAAATATAAACAACATTTGCTCTAATGTAAAAGTGTTGCCCGAGGTGTTTGCCTTCCGGCACTTGTCTCTTCATCTTAAGTTGGGTATAACATAATAAAAGTTGATCTGCAGCTGCTGCTAAGACAGACGTCAGTGGAGATTAAATAACATAGATGTTTGAAATTATTTATTTTAATTCATTTATTTTGCTGAAAATCGGTAGACATTTGACGCTTAAAGTTTTTAATATTTTTATTACTGTAGCGTAAAAGTAACATTTTCAAATAACATTTCATATATCTTTCTCAATTCACTCACAAGTAAGGAGATGGAAGATATAGTTCTAATGAATATTTTTTGTACTATTTTCTTAAACATTTATTATATATTTACTTTTCTGATAAAAAGTTAAGGATCAATTAATTGTGAAATTATTTAAATAATATTTTAAGTATTTGATTGCTTATAATTCCGTTTTTTGATGAAAAGTTCGATTTTTAAGAAACTATTAACTGTTTCCAAACGTTTGATGCACCTTGTATGTATTTCAGTATTCTTTATTGGTTTCTAATTATTATACAGGGTTAGGTTGTTCGTTAAAAAACGCTGGTTTAAATTTTGTGCTAAAAAACACTGGTTTAAATTTTGTTCAAAAGAATTAGTGATTTTATGCAAGCTTTTACCCTATAACTAAAAACCAAATTCATATGCATTTAAATTTACTTAGAATAATTAAAATATTACGGAGACTACGAAGATTAAATATGTAATTATTCTTGTAATATTTTCTACTACTTTTTAAGGAGCATGAGAACCTTGTTAGACTGAAATTAATATATAATTTTTATTCAAATTATAACTATGGTTAAACCTGCCGGGCCCTACAATTTTCGTTTTATTTTTTTATAAATGCGTCATACTGTAAACGAGTTTTATTTTCTTGTGTTCGTGAACTTTTGTGCTAGGAAAACCCCAAATGTATACCTATATTTACATTTATAGCTTTGAATTAACATAAATATGTTGAGTATCGAAGAAAGTGTGGAAACGGTCAAATGTTGCAAAAATACACATCGGATCAAATATTTAAAAACATAATCGAGTCAAATGCATTCAAAAGACGAATTCAATCATCCTTAACTCGACTTTTTAACCACACTCCCTGGTTGTTTGGTGGAGTCAGCTTCAAAACTTTTTTAATGCAGATTTGGATTTTCCAGATAAAAGTACACCAATTAGACAGTGTTGTCCTTTTGGTTCACAGATGGCGCTGTAATAACAAAATGAAGATGGCGTATAAATTATTTAAATCAGAGATATTTCGAAAAATACACGTCTGATTAAAAGAAATAAAGAAAAAAGATAGATTCATTCGAAAAACCTATTTAATGACCCCAAACTCAACACTTCCCCCCACTACGTCTATCCATGTTCAACTTCATAACCTTGTAATTTGGATTTATTCCAGAAAACAAGGGAACTCTTGGATCAAGTATTGGGAAAAACTAGCCATCGTCGTGGAAGACTTTTTGATGAAGCTTACACGCATTTGCGTTACATAGAGAGGAAAACCTCACACGCTTAATCAAGGGATTATAATCCATATTCCGTCTAACGCTGAGGATATTTTAATGTTAGTGCTGTGGTCGGTGCGAGCCTTGATCAGAATTCGTACCAATCTGTCAATGCTGGGATTCGAGCCCATGTTACCTCATTGAGAACACCTGTTCTCTTCTGTATCAAGTATTGGGAGAAATTGGCCTTCATAGAGGATTTTTTTATGTAACTAACCCGTATTCGCTTAATATGGCGAAGAAAACCATGAAAACCACCCACGGTTTGCCTGACAAAACTCTAACCCATGATCCGTCAACGACTGAGGATATTTAACGACAGCAAACAGGTTGATGTGAGCTCGGTGTGGAATTCGCATCAACCAGCCATCGCTGAGATTCGAACCCGGGTAACCTCATTGTGAGGCGAGCGCTTCGTATCCTGAGCCACTACGACTCGAGACTCCTTTTAGAAATTATTATGCTAATAAGTTTTTAAACGAGTGCCTCTCTATAGTAAAATCTCTCTATAGTCAAAATATTGAAATTAATTTACGCGCTTTATTAATTGGACAGGAGTTTAAATTCCCATCTCGTAAATAGTGATAACAAAAAATGAGAGATATCTACAATGTAGTAGACTCACAACATTGTCTTTGCCTTGAATTTAGCTCAAAATTCAATCGAATTAAATCCGGACTAACGGGATAAGTGTTTTCGCCAGGGATGAAAGGTCCTTAGAGTGTTTTTTTTTATCGTAGTAGCATATTATGGACATGATACTGATGCATTATACTTAGTTGCAAAATGATATATTTATAAGGGTTATTGATCACGTGACTTTAAGCGCAAATTACTCGAAACTATGTTCCTCTTACTCTCTTAGTATAGTAATGAATGTAATTTTCAATGTATTTATTTCAAATTTTGACACAACATTAACAATAAACATAGTTTTCGTTGAACGTAGATGCAATTTTAATTGGGTTGACTGGTTCCAGAAAAATGTAATTTATTTTATATCATATTTCTTTCAAAACATAGCCATTTTGTGAGAATTGTGATATTTTTTTAAAAATCCATTTCTGAAGTAAAACCATTTTGTGATATTTTTTTTAAAATCCTACTTGCAACAAAAACTATATTCATGTAATTTGAAAAAAGGAAATTTGGATGATTTTATTTCAACTTATGAGTTCAGAAAATTATGGAATAATTTAAAAAAATAAGTTATACGCATTGCGTTGTTCTCTCTTAAAATGAAAGAGTGATTTTTCAAAAAAGAGTAAAATTTTTTTAACTCAACTTGAGTGAAATACACCTATATTTGAGCTAAATTCTTGCTTTGCGTTTACTCGAACTTGAGTGGTATTTATTTAAGCAGTAATTGAGTAGTTTTCGCTCAAACTTGAGTTATTTATTTATTATTCAATTGTGTGCGAGCTATAAGCTGGAATTTCTATCGTTTTATTTTAAAAAGCAAACGGTAATAAATCTAAATAAAATTTGTTCAGCTATCTAAATTAGTTATATTCTTGCTTCTATTTTAAGTTAAATTTCTTTCAGATGAATATGTCGATTGATATTTTGAATAAAGAAGAATTAAAACAACACTTAGTTAACAGCTGCATTTCTGAAGAAGACGCTGTTTTACTTTTTGGTAAGTAAATATACTCTATTCTTATTTTTAAAATAATATTATTTTTAAAATAGTATAATTTAGAATATGTTCTATACACTTTCCATTTAAATTAGCAGTTTTTAGCGATTTTATATAAACTTCTGGTCATTTTTTTCCCAGGAGAAATTTATTAAAATTGAAAGTGAAAAATGTGGATGATTGTGGAATATTAAAAAAAAATCTGATTCCGTTTCTGTCAAAGTATGTGGTGATATATTAAATGAGCGTTAATTGTTTTAATTTTTGTATTTGTAACGTGATAAAATGAAGGTTTAAATTCGCACATTAAGATAAAAATAAAAGTTATGACGTTAATCTCAATCGTTGCAAAATTCATTAAAAATCGTTCTTTTTTTTAGGCTTCTACTGTGTTGTTCTACTGGGGCTGTGAAACGAGGCATCTTCACTACTCTCGCCATCTTGGATTTTAGGTATAATTTTTGATTTGCGTTTTGTTGATGCTTATTTTTCACCAAAAAATTTTGATGATGGATTGTCCTCAATAGCAATATACCTTTCAGAAAAAGATTGAAAATAATGGAGTTGCCTATTCTTTAAATGAAGAGAAATAGAACTTGACAATAACTAACAGATGCATACTGCTAAACAACTTTCCGGATCTTAGAATTATATTGGTATAATTTAATCAGAAAAATATGAAAAAATAATTGAACCCTACATATCCGAAACTAGACGTTATATCACACACACTTTATATCTCAAATTTTGATAGGATGATGGTCTTTTATTTTACGTGTATCAAAAGATACTGCCGAACAGAGTAAATACCTACCTCCAGTTTATTTGTGAAAATTAAATAAAAAGGAATAAAAGCATATCTTGAGAATTTCCTCCACTCCAGTTGAGGGTGGACAAAAGACAGGTCTCTTATCGCACTTATCTATGCAAGATATGATACATTCATGATAAGATTCGGGTTGGTTTAAAACTTTTCTTATAATAATATCTCTTGATTGTAATTCCGCATCCAGATTGCCCAGAAGACAGTGATCTGATCATAGGTTAAAGTCCACTTGCCATCAGGCTAACCGTGAGAGGTTCTCGTGGTGTTCCACTCCATGTAACGCAAATACGGGTTCGTTCCATCTAACAGTCTTCCACGAAGGCAAATTTCTTCCATTACTTGATCCTCTCTTTTCTGGATTGGGTGCAAAATTACAAGGCTACGTTGTTGAACATTGGTAGTCGCAAACCCAAAAATTGGGTCGGCTGTTCAACGACGGTTATAAAATAAATTAAAATATAATAATATCTTGAGCTGTGGTGGCTTCGGGGATAGAGCGTCAGCTTTCCAATGAGGTGAACCGGTTTCGAATCCCAGACATGGCTGGTCGATACGAATTCCGCACCCAGCTCGCACTGATTACAGTCCTGACGTGAAATATCCTCAGTGGTTGACGGATCATGGGTCAGATTCCATTTGCCGACAAGCTAACCGTGGGTGGTTTTCGTGGTTTTACTCACCATGTAACGCAAATGCGGTTTCGTTACATCAAAAAGTCCTTCATGAATACAAATTTCTCTCAATACTTGATCCAGGAGTTCCCTTGTCTTCTGGATTGGGTTCAGAATTGAGTTGAACATTAGTAGTCGTAAACCCAAAAAATTGTGTTGGCAATTCAACGGCGGATATAAGATATAATAATATCCTTAAATACTAAAATANGTATGTGGTGATATATTAAATGAGCGTTAATTGTTTTAATTTTTGTATTTGTAACGTGATAAAATGAAGGTTTAAATTCGCACATTAAGATAAAAATAAAAGTTATGACGTTAATCTCAATCGTTGCAAAATTCATTAAAAATCGTTCTTTTTTTTAGGCTTCTACTGTGTTGTTCTACTGGGGCTGTGAAACGAGGCATCTTCACTACTCTCGCCATCTTGGATTTTAGGTATAATTTTTGATTTGCGTTTTGTTGATGCTTATTTTTCACCAAAAAATTTTGATGATGGATTGTCCTCAATAGCAATATACCTTTCAGAAAAAGATTGAAAATAATGGAGTTGCCTATTCTTTAAATGAGGAGAAATAGAATTTGATAATTTTTAGAACGCTTATATAGATTCTTCTTCAAAAATGTGAAGCAATAAAATGACCCGATTTATGGTTGTGAGTCAGTTATTTATAACTACACATTTGTCTGTTCTTAGAATTTTCAAAATTTAATTTGTTAGAGTTTTAATTAATAAAAACCGATTCAGTTGACATTAGAAATATTTATTTACGTTAACTGCGTGAAATAGTAAGATTTTTTTTTCTTTCGAAATCAAATAACTGACAGATGTATACTGTTAAAAAACTTTCCGAAAAAGGACGATCTTAGAATTATATTGGTATAATTTTATCAGAAAAATATGAAAAAATAATTGAACCCCTTATATCTCAAACTAGACGTAATATCACATACACCTTATATCTCAAATTGTGATAGGATGGTGGTCTTTTATTTTACGTGTATCAAAAGATACTGCAGAACAGAGTAAATATCTACCACCAGTTTATTTGTGAAAATTAAATAAAAAGGAATAAAAGCATATCTTGAGAATTCCTCCAAGAAGACAGGTCTCTTATCGCACTTATCTATGTAAGATATGATACATTCATGATGATAGATTCGGGTTGGTTTAAAACTTTTCTTATAATATCTCTTGATACCAATTCCGCATCCGGATTGCCCAGAAGACAGTGATGACATGGTAAACTAATCATAGAGGTTATAGTTCGCTTGCCGTCAGGCTAACCGTTGGAGGTTCTCGTGGTGTTCAACTCCATGTAACGCAAATACGGGTTCGTTCCATCTAAAAGTCTTCCACGAAGGCAAATTTCTTCCAATACTTGATCACCTCTTTTCTGGATTGGGTGCAAAATTACAAGGCTTAACATTAGTAGTCGTAAACCCAAAAATTTAGTCGGCTGTTCAACGACGGTTATAAAATAAATTAAAACAAAATAATATCTTGAGCTGTGGTGGCTCAGCGGATAGAGCGTCAGCTTTCCAATGAGGTGAACCGGTTTCGAATCCCAGACATTGCTGGTGATACAAATTTCACACCCAGCTCGCACTAATTACTGCGCTGACGTGAAATATCCTCAGTGGTTGACGGATTATGGGTCAGATTCCATTTGCCGTCAAGCTAACCGTGGGTGGGTTTCATGGTTTTGCTCACCATGTAACGCAAATGCGGTTTGGTTCCATCAAAAATTGTCCTTCATGAATGCAAATTTCTCCCAATACTTGATCCAGGAGTTCCCTTGTGTTCTGGATTGGGTTGAACATTAGTAGTCGTAAACCCAAAAAATTGGGTCGGCTGTTCAACGGCGGATATAAGATATAATAATATCCTTAAATACTAAAACAAATATTTTAAAATTGCTCGTATGATAACACTATTACATTTAGTTATTAAATGATTTAAAAATGAGGTATAAGGAGCTTATTTTTACTGAGTAGGTAACCTGAGGGGAAAAAACTCTAACATCATTAATTTTTATAATTTTGACTGATTCACGTTGTGTTTACGTTTGGCGCTGTAAAGCCGACTCCTTCAGTCATTTGAACCCTACATGCCATCAAATAAATTTTCAAGCTTCCTTTTAATTGTTTCTTCTATTGATCTCTTTAATTGTGACTAAAATTAATAATTTCCAATTATATTTTCACAATCGTTGCTTTTAATGCGATCCTTTAAGTTGCTTCAGTATCTATGGCCTGCTTAAATAAGTTTTAGAAGAAACAGTCTAAAAAAAACTTTGTAATTAATCGATTAATTTTTATCTATTCGTTATAAGTCGAAATAACTTTAAAGATCATAAAATACATTTATGAAATGAATTTATTTTCCGAGTATCAATAAAAAAATATGTTTCAAAAAGATATAAAAAAGTAATAAAAATTGTCATAGAATTATTTAAATGTCTCTAAAGAAGTCAAAACATGCAACAAAAATGGTAAATAGTTATAGAAACATGTCTAACAAATTTTATCAAGTGGAGCTAAAATTATCAATACTATTTTATTATTATACTATTTTTAGGTAAAATCGACTTATGGACCAGCTATTGTTGATTAAATATAACGAGAGCATTTAAAAAAGAGCAAGATTCTAAAACTAAATGACTTGTAAAGATAAGAGCATTTCTGAAATTAAAGCGAAAATCTTGTTATTTATTTTATCTCGAATCAGTGTTTTGAAAACAATGCTTTTAGAATTTGTTATTATACTAATTTTTATGTTCTAATTTGGCGTCAAATATTTATCTTACCGTTTAATGTTTCCCGTGAATTATCCTAGCATTGCGAAAATTACAAGACATTTTTTTAGACTGGTTTGTATGTTAAACATTTATATCAAAATGTTTAAAGTATAATCATCTCTATAATAATCATTTGAGAAATAAAAATGTAAACTGCTAGTAATTATATCATATGAAGATTTGTAACATTCTAAGTTAATTTAAATTAAGACTAAAACCACTTATAATTATTTTTTCCTTTTGCATTTCCAAAGAAAAGAAATATTGGTCAAAGTAATATCTTAAGCTCACTAGAAACAATCATTATTCCAACCATTTTTTAGAACATATTCTCTTGCCAAATTATTTTTTGTTAATAATTTTAGAGTTAACTTTTGAAAAAATATGTCATTTTTCTCTTTTCGAAAATTGCAAATTTCTCTGCAAAAATATTTTTGTTCAAACAACACTATATCTTACGTTAAGTAATAAGTTAAAAATATAGCTATCTGTGAAATAAATAATTTTTTTGCACCAAACACGACATTCGAAGCAAATTTCGTGAATTTTATTTTCTTTCTGAATTGTGGAAAACGCAAGTAATTACATAGTATACGCAAATTATTTTCAAAACCCAAAAAGTACAGATAATAGAAGTAAAACGAAATCTTATAACATTGCAAACTTTTCAACTGATAAAAAATAGTTTTTTTTTCGATTTATGATAGTTTAAAAATACTTAAAATTTTCCACGTCATGATTTTCAAATAACTTAAGTTGAACAAGAAGAAATTCTTTTCAATAATAATAAAAAAAGGGAAATAATCTTTTAAAAATTCATGCTATATTCAGAGTGACTTTTTCATTACATATCAAAATGATTGATTTGTGTTGTGATTTCGATGAAAAGTTTTCCTGGTTATGTGTTGCTAAATTTGAGGAGGAAAATTGTTAAGATTGACACTTCGTGTTCACAGACGTCAACAAATACGGTTACAGTAGACGTCAATGTTTAGTAATTGTCAGAATGCGAGCGATCAATAAGAAATGAACATTACGCTTTACTTATCGTTTTCAAAGAAAATTAAAGCAAAAATCAAAAAAAAAATTAAAGCAAAGAGCGCATTAGTATTTTGTCACAGGGTTTCGCCTTTTGATAAAAAGGGTTTTAC